GGTAGAAAGGAATATGAAAGATTACCCAAGAGACTGAATACATCTGCGTAAGCCATTGACAACGATTTTGAGCCATGTCACCTATTGTCTCCAGCCATTGATTCTTAGAGTCCCGAGGGCGGGCCCCAACCCGGAAGTCTGCATCTCCCTCCCTACCTGACTCAGTTTAACTGTCACGGATTTCATGGATTGATGAGGCCATGTTTTTGTTTGGCCACCACTTACTCTTTTCCAACCTGCAGCACCTATATCAGCTAGTAATGCCCGTCCGTCGGGGAGGCGATGGTTAGGCATGCACAGCACGTGACCTAGCCATCTCAATCTATGTAACTTTATAGCCTCTTCGATTGATTTTCCCTCTTTGCTCAACACTCTACGCGTAACGTCAACATTACTTACCTTATTATGCCACCTAACGTGAGAAAGAGATCGTAGACATGTATGATCAAAAACCGTCAACCTTTTGATGTCTTCAACTCGTATTGGCCACGTTTCAGAGCCAGCCATAGAGAAGGACGGAGCGAACTGATGAGCAGTACACACGTCCCTTGGTTGACAGTCGGATGTCACGCCCGTGCCAGAGATTGTGTAAGTTAGTGAAAGCAGCTCGAGCTCTTTGGTTACTTGCTGAGATTTCGTCACTAATCACTTCGTTGGTGCTGATACAACTTCCCAAATAGGTGAAGCGGTCAACATGTTCTATCACTTCACTCCCTATCACTAAGCTAGGAGTTGACGTAGTCCAGTCCTGTAGCAGCATCTTACATTTTACAGGGGTGAATCGCATGCCAAACATACGAAGATTGCTGCTCAAGGTTTTCAGAAGCCTCTGCATTTTGTCAGGATCCTCCCCTAACAGGACTTTGTCATCCGCATATTCTAAGTCCATAAGACTATTCCCTGGTAACAAGTCGATTCCTAAGTCCTTAAGTTCAGTTAAGGATTCTTCCATCAGCATATCTATGATGAATTTAAACAGAAAAGGGGAAAGTGGACATCCCTGAGAGACACCACTGGTTGTTATCAATTCGGATGTCAATTCCCCATAAGCTCTTACACAGCTACGTGATTTTGAGTAGAGTGCCTTGATTAGTGCAATGTACTTTCTTGGCACTCCCTTCATAGTCAAACATTGCCATAGAACCTCTCGATCCACGGAGTCGAAAGCCGCCTTCAAGTCAAGAAATATGGCAATTGTTGGACGCGTAAATATGTGTCTATGTTCTAGGATGTGTCGGAGAGTGAAGATATGATCTATGCACCCTCTACCTGGCCTAAATCCTGCTTGATTTTCCTTCGTTTGTTTCTCCGGAGTTCTGCTTAGTCAATTTACTCACCCTATTATACTACCACTTAACACGGGAGATAGAATGCAGACATTTATGATCCTAGCTGGCCTTTTCATATCTTTCACTTTCAATGGCCTTGTCTCACAATTGATCTCAAACAATAAGTTAGTTATTTCACACCATTATTACTATGGTTATTATCAATATTTATTATTATTATTATTATTATTATTACTATTATCATGACGATAACAGGTACAGCGGTGTACAAAAACTGGCAAGTGGGGGACTAATCGACTGCAAGAAGAGCAAGAGTCTATTCGTCGTAAAGAATTTGTCGATAATAAATTGGCTCATCTACAAGCTCGAATTCGTATTCAAGCAGCTGCCTACCGTGTAAGTTATCCTGAAATTTTTTTTCAGATGTATACAACTTTCTAAGTTCGTGTTTGTTTGTATATTTTTTTACGATGTGAAATTGTTAGCCTCACACACCCAACCTCCCTTCTTTTCTCACCTGGGCGAGATTATCAAGAATGCCTCATCTGATAATTGGACCCGGATCTGTGGTATGACATGCTGGCAGTGTACCACCACTGAAAACCACCGACGTACAAAACTCGCCGTTCCCTCTATAGGGACTGAAACTGTCAACCTCCGGATTATATGAGTACGGTGTGTAAGCGTAGTAAATTTGGTCTGGATTTAGAAGTATAGACTTTGAGAAGGCCTTCGACAGCGTTGACCGCGAAGTAATATGGAAACTACTCGAGTACTACGGCGTGCCCCAAATATTCATCAACCTTATTCAACAGCTGTACGACAACTGCACATGTCAAGTGGTCCACAACGGAAAACTCAGTGAGGCGTTTGGAGTAAACACAGGAGTCAGACAAGGGTGCTTATTATCACCAATGATATTCCTAATTGTGGTGGACTGGATTATGCGTCAGACAGTGGGAAACGAGAAGACAGGGATATCCTGTCCTGACCGACGTGAAGAACTTAGAAGACCTGGATATCGCGGATGACTTATGTTTGATGTCACAGAAAATCGAAGACTTACAAGCGAAAACCCACAAACTGGTCGAAGAAGCAGCAAAGACAGGACTCCAGGTGAACATAGACACGATGGAGGTTATGAAAATAACCAACCAACAACAACAACAACAACAGCAACATCCAGCGCCAATCAACATCAACGGGAGCGATTTGAAAGAGGTTACTTCATTCACTTATCTAGGGAGCATTTTCTCAACTACAGGAGGAACGGACGAGGATGTCAAATCGAGAATCGGGAAGGCGAGAAACACATTCATCAACCTGAAACCAATCTGGAAATCTTCGTCACTCAGCCTGCATCAACAACAAAGTGATTCGGATTTTCAATAGAAACGTCAAGTCAGTCAGTTCTTCTATACGGATGGATCAGAAACTTGGCGGGTCACAAAGAATATTTCCAACAGCCTGTTGCAGACCTTTATCAACAACTGTCTTCGCTGGCTCTATACTGAAGATCAGATGGCCGGCCGGAAAGAATCACCAACAAGAAACTATGGGAAGAAACAAAACAAGAACCAATCGCTCAACAAATATGCAGGAGAAAGTGAAGATGGATTGGACACTCGTGGCTGAGGAGGCCGCTGGGTGACATCGCGCGTCAGGCCAACGCTCGAGTGGAACCCGAAAGGGAGGCGGCGAGTGGGACGTCAGTGCAAGGGTGACATGGAGGAGATCGTGTGAAGAGGAGCTGAAACAGTATGGACTAACATGGATGCAGGTGAAAAGTACAGCAAAAGACAGAAGCAAGTGGAGACGTGTATTTGAAGCCGTATGTTCCACTAGGAACCCAAGGGAACAATAATAATAATATAATAGAAGTATATGTAGGCCAGAAATCGAAGCCTTCTGTACGGCTGAAGAGTATTCGACTGTTGAACCAGTAACACGTGTTCTCCTGCATTACTGCTGGATAAATTCGTGATTAACTCCTTTCTGCATGAAGTAACCAGATTCACATCTCTCTGTACATTTTACTCTAAAATTGGTTTAATATTTCTTTGGATTATTTGTGACATTCATGTTTAAACTGTCCGACATATTTTGCACGGAATCACTGGGAATATTTTTTGGTTATCATATTTTCTGACTAATCCAAGAACTGTTTCTTTTTCGTGGAACTCATTTGACCAATGAATTATCGATTGTCAATTCGAATTGCTCTATTGTTACATCTCTGATTGGAATTCTAAATGATGTGGGTTCAAATCTCAGAGGAGACATCAATTCTTTCACATTTCCAGATTCATCTTACTGACGACAGTGTCAACAAACACAAAACCCTTTTCATCTGACATCCATTCATTTTCGTATGAATTTTATTCCGGCAAAGGTAAACTTTCGACACCAATAACAACCAATCAGCAAACGACCTTGAACGGACCAATCACATGAAAGAGCCGTTTATGATAAGTGGAAGCGTATGTTTAAAAAAAATGCATAAAAAAGATAAAACGGTTACAATGGATATCTTTCCCGAACATGGGACAGGAACATCTCCCAATTCAGCATGGGACTGTCACTAGAGAAGTCTGTCTGCTATTCTTTCGACAAATCCCTTTCGGAGGGACGTGTCGTATAAACCTATTACCCAAATCTTATTAGCTCTCTGACGACCACGGTTATATTTCTTCTTCAACAGCACTGTCTCATCCACATGCACTACCACGTCATCCCCGCCTAACAACGAGGTAATTCTCTCCATTTTCCATGAGGCGATGTCTCTACAGTGCTGATACCATTGGACTGTTGAGACGATGCTATTCTCCGTCTCCGCAGCTGCCGACCTTGAACGGACCACACGAACAATTTCTCTCCTTTCGAAGCAAGCCTAAATCCAGGCAATACTGAAAGACACTATCCTCCTCGAATTGCAAACGTAACCTTGTAAGGGCATGCATTGTAAATGAATCAAGAGCTATACAGCATTGAACTACATTCGTGAATCTCATTGGATAATTCGACGTCGTTCGCTGATTGGTAGTTATTAGTGTCTAAAGTTTAACTTGGCCTTTATTCCGATAGAACTCAGTTCAGTCTTTCAGTGGACATTCATAGAGCTCTGCATAATTTCTAACTGTAAACAGTAATAGTAGTGTAACGACAGAAGACAAGGTCCAGGCAACAGATCGTTTATTGTGAAAATCAACATATATTTATATAGTGCTATGTATATGATTATTAGCGTTGTGCGTCGGTGGCATAGCGGTAAAGAGGAAAGGTTGGGCATGAGGGGAACGTGTAGGAAAAAAAATTATTAGCGTTATTATTAGCAGAGAAACGGCGTCTTCTGATTGGTTGTTTTCTCACTGAAAGTTATTCTGTCATCTCTTTGGCCATTTCTTTGAAGGTCAGACCATAATATCTGCGAATCGTATCCGCCCACGCTTAGTCTGCTGTGATTGGTTGTTGAGTTAGTCTTTGTTATTGTGTTTTGTTTTCTTCTCATGACCAAGATTTTGGACGTAAACATTGACGTGTAAATTGCTGTCTACCTCCAATTTTGGCTAACTAACAGACAACTCTCACCACATTGTGACTGTTATTCGAGCCCCACATATATTTTCTTTTTTACGCTTTTCTCCCTTGTATTTTCTGTACGCCTAATAATAATAATTATTCTATGCTATGCTGTTTCTAATTTCTATATAGGCAAATGTTATCAAATTTATTGAAATGCTGTTGAATCATACAGATCCAAGTTTACGTTTATTAGCTGAACATATGAATTTCAATGGACATTATTGCACTTCAACACCAGGATCATCATCTGCAACTGGATCTGTTACATCAGGATATCCTATTCCCGTAGCACTTGAAGGATTAGTAGGCGTAGGAGGCGGCGGCGGGGGTTATCAACAAAAATTAAAATCCCTAACATCATCGATATCCCCATCATCCTCACAACAACAGCAACACCAACAAGAAGTAGGGAATGCGGATAAACGACACAATAATATTATAATACTAAGAAGTGCTGTGCCATATTCTGGTTCAGTAACACCAACTTCTTCATTGACAGTTGCCTCTAGACAACCAGAATCATCATCGTGTATATCGCAGGCGAGTGATATTACTTCAAGTCGAAAGAATTCAAGTGGCTCATCAGATGACTACAAAGGTGGGGGTGGTGGTGGAATTGTTGTTATTGAATGAAAATATCACAAAATATTTTATACTGGTAATAATGTATTTATACTTTTTCTAGAAAGATCTCTATCTATCTATCTCTCTGTCTGTCTGTTTGTCTTTAAGGTGCACATACACACACACGCACTCATTCACATGCTCACTCGCACCCATTCCACCCCCTCATTTTGCACAATACACCACACCACATTAGAACTTAATTCTATTTTGATTGAATTCTAAATGTATTGGATTTCTAGTAGTATAAGAAGAAGAAATCTTAGATTTCTGTATGTGTACAAATGCATATGTGTATATCTTTGTGTCTGTTTGTGTGGGTGTGCGTGCGTTTACGCGTGTGTGTGTGTGTGTACTGACGTCTGTTTGTATGTAGTTTTATCTTGAAGTGTACTTGTCTTTTAGCTGTTCACATTCTCACTTAATATTCTCTTCAAACACACGTATACAATGTTTAATAATATTAATATTATTATTTTTTTTCTAATCCGAAGTTTGCTACTATTTGGTTTAATGTAGCATCTTTATTTTTTGTATGATTTTAATAATAAAATAAAATGCAGAATGTGTTTATAGTTCATTGGTGTTCAAATTTTTGCTTCTCAGTACAGTACCTTAATAGGCGTTTGTTTATGTCACACTCCACACTGTGGTGGAGATTCTTTACGATTGCCTTTAATCAATTCGATATGAAGTGGTGTAGTAGGGTAAGAAGCAATGCTGAGTTTAGGCTTCAGTCGAGTGCTAGATAAGGAGGGAGGGGAAATCAATTACACATGTCTAGTCTAGCCATCGCCTCCCTCGACCGACAGGCAATGTTAGCTGACATAGGATGGGTCAGGTTGGAAAAGAGCCAGTGGCGGTCAAACGAAAACATGGCACCAGTCAGTGAAATCTACAACAGTCAGTTTAAACCAGCCAGCCACGTAGGAAGGTGTAGACACTCTACTGGAACTCATGCAGCCAGGTGAGGGCTTACGGCGAGTTGTCCTCTGAAGTGGTGACGACTAGTGGCGTCCATCAAGGATGCCCATTATCCCCATTTCTATTCAATTTCATCATAGATGTACTAATGGACTTAACCCTAACTCACTTCAGAGACTCAGGGATTGACTTGCTGCCACCAGGGAATAATCTCGTTGACTTAGAATATGCGGACGATATAGTCCTTCTAGGCGAGGACTCTGACAAAATGCAGAGTCTTCTGAACACCTTGAGCAGCAATCTTCGTATGTTTGGTATGCGATTCGCCCCTGTAAAATGTAAGATGATGTTGCAGGATTGGACTACACCGACCCCTAGCTTAGTGATAGGAAGTGAAGTGGTAGAGCACCTTGACCTTGAGAGCGGAAGACATGAAAAGATTGGCTGTCTTTGATCATAAGTGTCTGTGTTCTATCTCCCACGTGAAGTGGTATTGTGAGGTGAGCAATATTGAGGTTAGGCGTCGATAGCTAGGTAAGGCGGGGAAATCAGTCGACGAGACTGTGGCATTACATCGACTGAGTTGGATGGTTAGGACATGTGTTACGTTTGCCTTGTCATCGCCTTCCTGGACTAATGGGCAATGTTAGCTTATATAGAGTCAGGTTGGAAAAGAGCTAGTGGCGATCAAATCAAATTATGGCACCAGTCAATGAAATCCAAAACAGTCAGTTTAAGCCAACCACGTAAGGATGTGTAGACTTCCTGGTTGGGTTCCTCGGGTTGATAAAAACCAATGAAGGCTGGAGACAATCGGTGATATGGCTCAAACTCATCGTTCTCAGTGGCTAGCGCACATGCATTCACTCCTTGTGACTTATAATACCCAATGAAACTATATTGTTCTTCGTTATTACTATTCCTTTTGTCTCATATCCCTGTCTACCGTCTCTATTTTGCATTTCTTCTCTTACTTTGTGTGCTACAAGGAGGGAGTGTGGTGACTTGATCTGCTGCACATTGGTGCAAAGTTCTATGTTGGAAATAGACAGACTGACAGTTGGTTGCGCGACGACGTGTCGTCGTCTACTGGATTTGTGACACCGCATGCATTAGGAGTTGACTGTGATAGACTCCAGTCAGTGTTAAACAAATGACACTGGTTACTTAGTAGTACTGGGCCACACTTATCATATGAGGGCTAATGATATTACCCAAAATCTATGAATCCTAGACCACAAAAGCCGCCCATGCTTAGCGTCCCGAAAAAAACTACTCTACATGTACCTTCAATTCAATGGAGATATATCTGCGGAAACACTAAAAAATCGACTGTTGCGTTCACTTAAGAAGACTTTCTTCGCAACTGAACTATGACTAACCTTCTCCACAAAACCTATGATTCATGTGAACGTGAAGGGTAAGCTACCACTGTTGACTGGCCTCATCAATGTGTATTTATCAATTCACCTGCTCGTGTGGAGCCAGGTATGTCGGCCGTATCCAGCGCTTGCTTTCCAAACGTATCACCGAACACTTACCAACATGGTTTTACAAAGGAGAAAAACGATGCCCCCACAACTCTATCTTAGAATATCTGTCTGATTCCGGATACCGCAAACAAACTTCAAAGTCGTCTACAGAGTAAAGGTGTACGAATCAGACTTCTTCAAACTGCAGAAGCAATGGCGATTCACTTGCTAAGTCCTGAACTCTGCATACCGAAGAAGTTCGTTCAATCACTACACTTGCAATGGACGTAATCTATCTTATTAGCCGACAGGTGAATTCTACCTAATCTCTTTTTCTCTGTCTCTTCATTAGTATTATTTTATCTTCTCAATTGTAATATTTTACATTTTCAACTTTCTTGTTCTCTACCCCCACCTGACTTAATTTCTACTCGTTATTACCGCTGTTACTGACTTGAACAACGCTCAATTTCTAGTCATTTATGTTACGTCATCCAACTTATTTGCTCAATTTCTCTTTTACTTAGTCTCTATCTGTAATTACCTCTGTTGCTATCCTGACCTGGGTTGTAACATTTTAGTCAATTATATTACGTCATCCAACTTACTAACTAACTCAATCTTAATTTAGTTGCTGTCTGATTAACTTTGTTTCTATATTAGATCATTCTTGTATTACCTGATCAATTATCTCAACTTGACAAACCTCCTGTACACACACACACACATAAAAATCATTGTATATAAATGCGATTGTACAGCTATGTGAATGAATTCGCCGTCGAAAAGAGTCTCTTCGCTGAACGTCTTCTCTTTTTCATATTACCCAATTGCCTAGGTTGAAGTAAGTGGATCGGGATTCGAATCCTGGACTTCGTTGGTTGGTTGGTTAACTCCCGGTGACCAATCAAATATAACCAACATAGTTCTAAAGAAAGTCAGTCGTGATCCTGAATAGCTCAATGGTAACTTCACCACTGGCTGCAACACTGAGCTGAGCGGGTTCTATTCTCATGGAGTACATCAATTCCTTCAAAAAGTTACACTTTAGATACACTTTACAGAGGAGTGCCGACAAACGCATACACCTAGGTAACTACCCCGAAAACACGATGGAACGTGCTAGCCCACCCCCCCCCCCGAATTCTATTTTCTTTAGTCGCTCAAACAAAATGAGCAATTTACTATTTTAACACAGTTCCCCACGTGAACCATGTGAGAATATAAGACCAAAACGGAATTTCAATGTTCATAGTCCTTCATGTTCAAACGACAGGCGGTACCTGGAAAGCTATTTCCTCCTAGAAGTATGCACTCATGACTCCACACCGTCGATTGGGCCGAGGACCTAGTGAAACCTGCGCTGAAGATATTGTCCAGAAGGATAACGAAAACGAATTCATAGAACACGACTAAATGAAAATCATGCATCCACCTGAGCTTAGAAATCCCCATTATTTCAAAATATTCGCGCTTCATTTACAAAGTTATGCGTGTACTATGATGATACCGAAACATTCTCTCTTCCACAGCATCCAATTTACGGCAGAAGCAGAATCAGACGTCGGTGAACTATCATTTCTAGACTGGCTGGCTAGTTAAGAGAGGGGGGGGAAAGGATATTTTTGTATATCTGTATTCAGGAAGAAGACTCACTCCAACAAATATTTAAACTTCGGATCACCACACCACCTCATCAGCGCAAGGGTATCAGTTGTTTCAAGTCTTCTTAGATGAGCACACTATTTGATGGTAACGGATAAGAAGGCAAAAAAGAAGAGACATTAAACATTATTGGGACTACTGATATAAGTTTAAAACTTAGGAACTGTGGTGGTAGAGTATAACTCCATTATGGATAAGATTTTATTTTGATAAATCACACAGTGTTTGTTATACAGTTAGTAATATTTAGTGATGACCACGTTTCGAGCACAAACTATTGCCACTCATAATCATATCAAGTCCTTGAAATGTAAAAAATTAAAGAGTCGAACAGAATTAGATTGATAATAAAAGATTAGCGGTGGGACTAATTTCCTTTGAACACTTTTTCCGTCTTTTCGATGTGTATTTTTATTATTATTATTTTTATTCTTCCTTTGGGTTCCTAGTGGAACATAGGGCTTCAACTGCACGTCCCCACTTGCTTCTGTCTTCTGCTGTACTTTTCACCTGCATCCATGTTAGTCCACACTGTTTCAGCTCTTCGTCACACGATCTCCTCCATGTCACCCTTGGACGTCCAACTCACCACTTCCCTTTCGGGTTCCACTCGAGCTATGGCCTGACGCGCGAAGTCGCCCAGCGGCCAATCCATTTCCACTTTCTCCTGCATATTTGTTGGGCGATTGATTCTTGTTTTGTTTGTTCCCATAGTTTCTTGTTGGTTCTTGTTCTTTCCGGCCATCTGATCTTCAGTATAGAGCCAGCGAAGACAGTTGTTGTTGATAAAGGTCTGCAACAGGCTGTTGGAAATATTCTTTGTGACACACTGGCCAAGTTTCTGATCCGTATAGCAAAACTGACTGACTTGACGTTTGTATTGAAAATCCGAATTTTGTTGTTGATGCTGATTTGAGTGACGAAGATTTCCAGATTGGTTTCAGGTTGATGAATGTGTTTCTCACCTTCCCGATTCTCGATTTAACATCCTCGTCCGTTCCTCCTGTAGTTGAGACAATGCTCCCTAGATAAGTGAAAGAAGTAACCTCTTTCAAATCCCTCCCGTTGATGGTGATTGGCACTGGATGTTACTGCTGTTGTTGTTGGTTGGTTATTTTCATAACCTCCGTCTTGTCTTTGTTCACCTGGAGTCCTGTCTTCTCTGGCTGCTTCTTCGACCAGTTTGTTGGTTTTCGCTTGTAAGTCTTCGATTTTGTGTGACATCAGACATAAATCATCCGCGAAATCCATGTCTTCTAGGTTCTTTACGTCGGTCCAGGATATCCCTGTCTTCTCGTTTCGATGTGTATGTAGACGGCCTATTCATCAGTACAAAGAAATTGGAAATATAATGCCTTTGACAGGTTTCTGTTTACTTTAGAAATGACTCTGAATGGTGGGTGGTAAGCAGTTGGTTGAGATGCTGTGATGCAGTGTTCTATTTTAATGCTTATGATTGAACCAGTACCGCCTCTTTTTACGCGTGCTGGATAGTGTTCCTTAACACGTTTTGAAAGAAAGTGCATAGAACGACATATGTACCTAGCTCCACAGGAGCAGGTGAATTGATGCTTGCATATTAGAGTGGTTATATACCG